AATAAAGTTGACAGCCTGGAGAGTAGCGTCAACAGCTTTTCCGCCTGCATAGCAAATGTCTTGCTAAACTCCAGAAAGTCCACTACGCAAAAGTCGTATAATTAAAAGTGGCAAAAATTCTGATTCTCCTTGGGTGACGATGCCCCTCGAGCCACCTCTGCAGGTCTCGAGAAAGCTTTTGAATTCCTCCTGTCTCTCGCTGACTCAGGACTTTCACATTCCTCGTTAAGGGTTTATTTGGCCTCACTTTCGGCCTACCATGTTCAAGTTGAGGGATGCTCACTGTTCTTGCATCCACTTTCTAAACGTTTTTTGAAGGGACTGTTGCACCTTTACCCTCCCATCAAAACTCCTGTCGTCCCCTGGGACCTTCCCCGGTCCTTCGCCAACTCACCAGAAAACCTTTTGAGCTGCTCGCAACTTGCGACATAAAATTCCTGTCCTGGAAAACAGCCTCTCTGGTCGCCGTCACTTCAGCAAGGTGAGTTGGAGAAATACTGGCTTTCAGACATGACACTCCTTATTTGTCTTTTTTGCCAGAGGGTGTCCGCCTCGTACCTGACATCTCGTTCCTGCCAAAGGTAGTGTCAGAATTTCACCTACAGGCAGAGGTCTTCCTCCCGGATTTCTTCCCGGCTCCAACATCTCCAGAGGAGAGGCTGCTACACACGTTGGATACAAAGCGTGTGCTTCTGTTCTACTTAAACAGAACCCGTCCAACGAGACATGACTGTCAACTGTTCGTTTCCTATGCGCCAGCAAGGCTGGGGAATCGCATCATGGCTCAGTGTTTGTCAAGGTGGATTGCAGGTCTCATCTGCCTCTGCTACCTTATCACTAAGCAGCCATTGCCTGGCCCTATCAGGGCTCATTCAACCAGAGTTGTTGCAGCCTCAACTGCCTTCCTCCATGGAGTTCCCCTAATGGACATTTGCAGAGCCGCTACGTGGGCTACGCCTAACACGTTCATAAGGCACTATGCCCTAGACATCCGTAAGAACTCTCGTATAGGGCCAGCTCACCCACTATGCGAACTAGGCATTCACCTAGAGCGCGGGCGGCCCTTAGGAGCGCCAAACAGGACCTGGGGGACCCCACCAAAGCCCCCCAGCACCCGCCAAAAGGACGCGGAGGGGCACAGCAGCAGCGGAGCCAAAAAGAGGGTGGGCAGAGTGGCAGGCGGGGAGAGAAGCTCTGACAGGACTTTCAAGCAGCCTTGTTCACCACCGCCGCCTTAAGCCAGCCGGACCCTCGAAGGCGGGAGAGCGCGTGTGCCCTGGCTGGCCGACCAGCGGAAAACAATAGGTGAGGGCGTAGGAGCATGGGCGGACGTGACAGGGGTGGGGCGGCAAAGCAGCCTGGCGTGCAGGCTCTCGCGCCGCCTGCCTGTGGGGGGTGCTGGCGGCTCCCCTGCGCCAGGGTAAGTGGCCCGGCCGGGGGGGAGGGAGGCCCAGGCTGATGCCTGCTGGAGCTGCCCCGCCGCAGCCTCCCTAGGAGGGCCTCCCTCTGTGTGTGCACCTTGGGGCTTAGGCGAGGCAGGGGTGGGGCCGAATGGGTGGACTGCCCCCAGGGCCCGCAGCGGGTGTGAAACAGGCGGCCAGCTGGGAGGTATCCAGGCCCCACCGGGAGGTTGGCATCTGAGGGGGGCGCCAAGAGGCGGCCTCGCCTAGGGCGCAGAAACCCCTTGGGCCGGCCCTGCTCTCATACCCACATGGGACGTCACATCTTATCCTCGGCTTCATAGTAATGACCTGCCAGCACCCTCCTCCAGGTAGGCCACTGCTCGCTAATCTCCCATGGGTGTGAAGCACAGAGACCACGTCAAAGATAAACAGGTTGCTTACCTGTAACTGATGATCTTCGACTGGTCATCTGTGCATTCACACCACCCACCCTCCTTCCCCCGCTGCTGTCAGCTTCTACATTTTCTATAAGGGTTGATTCACGGTGGTTCGAAGGAACTGGCAGGATGTCCGCACCCACCCCTCTGGGCATGCGTGGTGGGGTTCCTGCGCATGCCTGAGGTCTGGGAGCAAAAATCCGTTAAGAGCTTGCTACAATGCCAATCGATCCAGCGCAGGCTCACTGTATCCTATGGGTGTGAATGCACAGATGACCACTCAAAGATCATCAGTTACAGGTAAGCAACCTGTTTTTCATCTAGCTCATTGGACTCTGCCTGTGTGTTTCCAATTCAGCCCCGGGAGCACACAGGGCACAGATTTGTGCATCAACAAGGCAAACATGCTGTGGAGCATGTCCTTCAGCTTGCTGGCCAAGGCTACTATCTTAGGAAAGAAAAAATGTGTTCTGCCCCTCTAGGTCCCCCAGATTGACCCTCAGTTATGACCTCCATCATGCCAACCAGGTCCTGGAGCATTGGAATCACCTAGCTCAGGGTGGATGTTTCCTCCCTAAAGGCCTGTATTGCAGTCTCAAAGCTTTGGAAGGAAGACCACCTGAGCCATAATTCCCATTCCTCTCTGCCCAGAAGAGCAGCTGCCAGTGTTCAATGGGCTCTGCAGAGCATGCTGCAGCAGTGCGGTTTAGCTGCAGAAAGGCAAGGCCTCTTTGTCACAAAGGAACAAACATGGCAGCAGCAGTCCAGGCTGAGGAGATGAAAAGGGTGCAGCATATGGCCTACACCCTCAGCCTTGTAGTTTAGGTTGCTTTGTAGGGTATGGAAGACTGCCACATACGTAATATAACCAAAGGCAAAAAGATGGCAGGGCATTTTCACTGCAGTGTCTAAGGCAGTGCTGCTACAGCAGAAACAAAAAAACTGTGGTTACCACAACACCACCTAATCCAGGTTGTGGCAACCAGGTGGAACTCCATTTTCTACCTGCTTAAAAGAGGGCTGGAGCAGCAGAGGGCACTCTATGACCTGGCCTTGGAGACTCCTATTGGTATGCCTGGATACCTGAATCATCAGCTACATTAGGGGCATTTTGATGTGTCTAAGAATCAAAGTTTTAGCTATTTAACCTAAGTAGAAAACAGTGGCCAAATAGGTAGGCAGAGCAGAAAGCGTCAGGGTAATAGGAGATGAAGGGGCCTAGAATAATAATGGTTAGTGCAGTCCTAAATGGAGTTAGACCCTTTTAAGACCATAGATGGTCTTCAATGGATTTACAAGGGTGTAACTCTACTTAGGATCACACAATTAGTTGAGGATTTACATTAAAACCATCCATACATATTCGTTCCTTAACCAGAACAATGAATGAGAAAAGATTTTTTTAGCCCCTTGGCAAAAATTTGATGATGATGATGATTGTACATTTCTTTTGGCAAATCTTTCATAGATCTGTGAACTACCATGGATACTGGATACGGACTGGAAAAAGTCTATGTGCAGAGTTTAAGATCAAAAATATCCCCATATACACTTATGATAACGTAAGAAATGATCTTGTATAAAGTGAGAAGAAATATAGATGGTTTGAAAAAATAATGCAGAAGTGTCGCAAATCACTGTAAATAGCACATAATTGACAAACAGGTAATGAAAACAGTATCCAGAAGTCTACTACTATATCTGATTTTCAAAGGTTTTTTTATTATTTTGAATGAATATCATATTGCAATTAAAATGAAAATATGTCAAGGAACAATTGTTTCAGAATCAACTCGGAATATCTGAATATAAATTTATGTTTGATGAAAATGTCTATGATATACAAAAGCCCTAAAAACCCGTTTAGGCACACAGGACAGAGGGCCTGCCCACTCAAGAGCAGGGTAGTCGTTCCCCCCCTCTTCTAAAAATAGTCACAGATATTTCATTCCAAACCTCTACTGAAACCTCACTACTTTTAAAAAGCAGCTATTGCTGCAGAATGGTGCTGGTCTTGCCCAAGGAGAATAACAGAGGTAGAACCTCTTTTAAAAATGTAGGAAACCTGCTGGAGGCATTGCAACAGCCTCTAAAGACTGGGTGGTGGTGGGGGGGGATTTTTGGTGGAAGGCATTAAAAACTGAAGGACTTGTCATGTGCCCTTGCAGTCATGGGCCCCATCCAACAAGGTCCCACCTCTCCTGTGCAACTGCTGTCTCTAGACCAAAGGTGCCGAAGGAAGTGCTGACTGTATCCGTGCTGTGTGTGTGGGGCTCCATAACAGAAGCACAAATAATTGACCCATGCAGGCAAGTCTACAGTGGCAGCAGTGAGCCAAAATGGGAAGGAGTCCTAGGTTTATGATTAATTTTACACAGGGTCATGATTTCTGGAATGTCCACAGGCTGTGTTATCAAAGAGATAAAAAAGCACTGGAAATTTGTGCGATTACAGATAGTTACTTTTCATCCATTAATGCATTATGCATCACAGAAATTAGTTTTTTAAACTATTTATAATATAATTAAGTTCTATAATTAAATTTTTTGTTCAACCGTACTTAAAAAACTGCAACCCTGGTGTTCCCCAGTGTGAACGGGCAAAATTTTCTGTCCAATTCAATGCAGTTATTCAGGCATGAGACTTCTTTTTAAAATTTCATGCTACTCATTTAAAATATTTTACAATCCGTATAGTTAAAAGGCAGCAGTTAGGGACTTCAGGTACTGAGTGCAAACGATCACTATATACACAAGCAATTGTAATGTAACTGAACTACATACCTAGTATGTAATTCCATATAGGCAGAGATGGGAATAAATTAAAGGGGCTGGATAGACAGGCATCTGTTAATTATACAATTACAGGCAACCCAGGGAAAAATTAATTTATGGAACACTGAAAGGAAAGAGAAAAGTTATAGATACAACCTAATTTTATTGTTTAAAAAATAAATATAAGCCTAGAATAGGCAAAACACCATTTTCAGATGTAAACAGCTGCATCCAGTAGTTATATTTAGAACTACATCTGAAGGAAAATAGTTTTGCAAACAAAACTAGACTGCTACCATCTCTGTACTATGTCAAATGTTGATTGAAAGAAAAATCAGCTCAATTTCTTCTAAAGCTTGCATTCTGCAAAAATCATTTGTGTAGCATTCTGTTTCATATCTTCTTAAAATAATCTTGATGTTTTCACATCATGGCACGTGTAAACTTTTTTGTAGCAACTGGTACCAATATCCCCAGTTGGGTGCCTTTGCTCAGGTGATCTGTGACAATATTTAACCTCTGAACACCTTTCACCTTTTGCATACGTGCACAGAAGAACAAAGTCACTGCATTGATCTGTATCTTATAAAAAATGTGGGTATCAAACCTACTGTGGGCAAACAGACATTTTGATCTCCTATGTAGTTCCATCTAGCTGGCGGAGATCCCATAATGGGATATACAGTATCTACATTCACAAAAACGAATGTACTGAAGTGTTTTAATAAATAAGTTCATAATTATAGGACAAAGCATTTCCATTAGCCCTTTCCAGAGGAAAATTATAGGAAATGTCTTGGTACTTTTCAGTTGCATATAGTGTAGTTCCATCAGAAAGATGTTGTTTTAAGAATTACTGCATTTTCTTCATTCTTTGTATTCCTTTTGGTTTTGGATGTATTTTTATATTTAATTCTGTAAATAAAACAGAATAAAACTATTGTTAAAACACTCCAAATCCTTGAAAATGCAGAGATTAATTTTGTATGCATTCTCCTCCCCAGCCGCAGAAATAAATAGCTCATTGTTCATTCAATGGGCAGAGTCATCAACCTAGGGTTGCCAAGTCCGGTGTCGCGCCGCACGCACATCACCCGGAAGTGATGTGACGATGCCAGGCACGCTGGGGAAGGGGCCACGACCATTCGAGGGAAAACCATAGAGTTTTCCCTCAGATGACCGTGGCCCCGCCCCCAGAGTGCCCCACGTTGTCACGTCACTTCCGGGTGACGCGCATGTTGGGGTGGGGCTCCCCCTGGGGCCCGATCCGCCGGCGGCAGGGAACGGGCCTCTGGGGCGGGGGTTTCCCCGCCCCCCGGGGGGACTTAGCAAGCCTACATCAACCAAATTAGAAACACAAAACCAAAATCTGGCTTTATTAAGATTTATGAAGCAGCAACACAGACAAACCATGTGCATTTACACTGCATTAGATCCTACCCATTATTCCTCAAAAATTAAGCTATTAATTTATGATTTCCCCCAACTGTTCCTCGTACAACTTCCTTTAACTAGCTAAGACTTCCCTAAGCAGCATTATTTGTGGTAGGAACATTCATACCAGTTCATGCTAATCTTTGCCACAATTGTATTTGTTCCCAATCTTTTTACAACATGGCCCACATCAAGACTGACTAGAAGCCTGAAATTTTCATAGAATCATAGAGTTGGAAGGGACCTCCAGGGTAATCTAGTCCAACTCCCTGCACAAAGCAGGAAATTCACAAATACCTCCCCCCCACCTCCAATGACCCTTCCACTATGCCAGACAGCCTTACCCTTTAACCCTAAGCATCTGTTCAATTGTCTCTGGAAGAGGTGTGCCATAGCTTTCTGGGAGAAACAGAGTCAGGATTCCTGTTAAGACTGTTAAACTCCCCATTAAGATGTAGGGAAGAAATCGATCATAGGCACCTAGCAGAAGCACAAGACAGAAAAAACAGTGATATTGAAATTATTTTTTAGAGAATAAAACGAAGATTCTTGTACCCATTTCATTAGATATAGTGAAGTGAATTCTCAGCCAGCAAGATTTTTTTATACACACAGAGAAGGAAAAACAAAATTGTGAGCCAGTAATTTTAAAGTGGTGTTCTGGGTAGCATGGGGTTTTGTTGTTGTTGTTCAGTCACACAGTCGAGTCCGACTCTTTGCGACCCCATGGACCAGATCACGCCAGGCCTTCCTTTCTTCCGCCGTCCTCTGAAGTTGGCTCAATTTCATGTTCGTTGCATCTATGACACTGTCTAACCATCTCATCCTTTGCCATCCCCGTCTTCTTTGACCTTCAATCTTTCCCAGCATTAGGGTCTTCTCCACTGAGTGCTCCCTTCTCATTTGGTGGCCAAAGTATTTGAGCTTCAGTTTCATTATCTGGCCTTCCAGGGAACAGTCAGGGTTGATTTCTTGTAGGATTGACTGATTTGATCTTCTTGCAGTCCAAAGGACTCTCAAGAGTCTTCTCTAGCACCATAGTTCAAAAGAATCTATTCTTCGGCACTCGGCCTTCCTTATAGTCCAACTCTCGCAGCCATACATGACTACTAGGAATACCATTGCTTTGACCATGCGGACTTTTGTTGGCAGGGTGATGGTTCTACTTTTTATCATGCTGTTAAAAAGTAGATGTTTTTCTGGTACTCCCTTGCTTTCTCCATAATCAAGCGAACGTTGGCAATTTGATCTCTAGTTCCTCTACCTCTTCGAAACCCAGCTTGTACTTCTGGCAGTTCTCTATCCACGTACTGCTGAAGCCTAGCTTGTAGGATCTTGAGCATGACCTGGCTAGCATATGAAATGAGTGCAATTGTGCGATAGTTTGAACATTCCCTGGCATTGCCGTTCTTTGGGATTGGAATGTAAACTGACCTTTTCCAATCCTGTGGCCACTGTTGCATTTTTCAAATTAACTGGTATAGTGAATGCCGCACTTTAACAGCATCATCTTTTAAGACTTTGAATAGCTCAGCTGGGATACCATCACCTCCGCTAGCTTTGTTGTTAGTAATGCTTTCTAAGGACCATTTGCCTTCACACTCCAGGATGTCTGGCTCGAAGACAGTGATCCCACTGTTGTGGTTGTCAAAGACATTGAGATCCTTCTTGTATAGTTCTTCTGTGTATTCTTGCCATCTTTTCCTAATCTCTTCTGCTTCTGCTAGGTTCCTACCATTTTTGTCCTTTATCATGGCCAGCTTTGCATTGAACGTTCCCTTGATTTCTCCAGTTTTCTTGAAGAGATCTCTAGTCCTTCCCATTCTATTGTTTTCCTCTATTACTTTGCATTGTTCATTCAGGAAAGCCTCTTTATTTCTCCTTGCTGTTCTCTGGAAATCTGCATTCAATTGAGTAAATCTTTCCTTTTCACCTTTGCCTTTCTCTTTCCTTCTTTCCTCTGCTATTTGTAAAGCCTCTTCAGACCGCCACTTTGCTTTCTTGCATTTCTGTTTCTTTGGGATGGTGCTGATTGTTGCCTCCTGTACAATGTCACGAACCTCCGTCCATGGGGTTGCTCAGAAGCTAATCATGCATTCTTCAGTAAGAACATTAGTAACGATGGACAAGCTTCCCTATAAAACAACCTGTATACTTGGGGTGTGAACTTGGGGTGAAGTTATAATTTTAATTCCATATCAGAAATTTGGGAAGGGCATGATTATCATGTTCATTAAATATCAGTACTAACACTGTATCGGGAAGCCATGCCAGGACAAATGTCTATTTTAATTAATATCAGAAAATTATCAAAACTTCCAAAATTGAGTGAAAACAATTTATGATGCCTTTCCAAACTTAAAAATTAAATTCAAACATAACTTCTGAAGTGCCTGCAGGCAGCAGGAGTGGGAAGGGAGAGGAAGCACATCCCAGCTGGTCAGCAGTGCATTTGCAGAATAGCAGAAGGGCCTCACAACCCAATTCTGGATATTTCTGATATCATCCAGGAGCAAAATACTGGAAAGTATCAGGAGTGTTTTTCATGGTATGGGATACTGCCAATCTGATACTGGAAATATGGACATTTTGTTGGGTCAGCAATATCCAATTGCACCCTCCTATTACATTCCCTCTACAAATAAAGAACTTCTCACATTTAACAAAAAAGTGGGTATTAGTGTATGTGGTAAGGGCAAGGGTTTGTTGGATAACGGGGCATTAGTACTGGGCTGGTAGAACATAAGAATGTTGGTAACTTACCAAGATATACAAAGTAAGGTGAGAGGATACTGCCAAATCTGGAAGCCATTGAACTGGCACCCACTCCCATGTTTCTCACAACTGTTGGGTAGAGCTCGGCAGTGTAGACATAAACTATTGAGAAGGAGGCTGTGATCCCAAACTTTCCAATCATCACCAGGATAATGGATACCAGATGGAGGTCTACAATTGAGAAGCAAAGCATGAATCAGTAAACATATTACCACTTCCATAATTAATTTTTCTGCCTCCTGCATTTACCACCATTTACTTATTCCCACTATTTTCAACAGGGAAAAGACCAAACGTAACAGAAATTGTTGCCACATAAGTCTGTCACAGCAAACACAGCAATATGTCTTGTTGCAACAAACACAATATTGTGTCTTGTAGTAGCTTAATGATTATCAAAGTTATCCCATTTCATCAGTTGTATAAGATGAAACAGGTTCTTTTATTTTGTAAACTGAGGGCCATATCATCAGTGTGCTCCTATGGTTGTTCCAAGTTGTGAAAACATGGGGGAAAAGCTTAGAACAGCCCTCTCCATGTGCTACATTCCCAATCCAAATTGTGCTCCACATGCCTGAAAATTAAGTTTAAAAACATAGAAAAGTAGGAAAGCAAGTCAATTCATGGCTTTAATGTGACCAAGTTTAAAAAAAAACAACAACCATAAACTATTTATATACACTATATCTACTTTCTACACAGCAACTTTTCTGCTGTACAAGAGTGGGCTCATCTAAAAGAATCACTGGCTAAAGAAAGATCAGACTGACATCTTTGGAATTCCTGGTATCCCTTACTTTATGATCAAGACAGACATAATTCAGAAAGGGAGCCAATAGCACTGTAGGTGTGTTGTATATCCATGTCACACTTAAATATTTCACTTTATTTAATGTCCATGTGTCTCATGCATACAATTAGGGATATATACTGAGCTTAATACAGAAAGCCAGTATTATTCAGTTTTATTTGGGCTTCCAGAGTGAAGGGAAGGGTTTTAAAGTTTAAACCCCTCCCATCCTGGAATTGGGCCCCAGTTGTGGCATGACTCCAAAGAGAAGTGAAGGGGTTTAAACTTTAAACCCCTCCCCATCTCCTCCCTAGAGTCGGGCTGCAGCTCCAGGGAGGGGATGGAAAGGGCTTTAAAGTCTAACCCTCTTTCCATCCCCTCTCCCATCCAGGTTTGTGTGGCGGGGAGGGAGAGCCCTCCCTGGCATGCACAGACCCTAGGGGCAGCTTCTTCTGTGGGATGGTTTAACCACCCTGCAGAAAAAGCCCTGCCATCTCGGTCTGCAGCCAGGGAGGGAGATCCTGCAAAGATCCTGGGGTGGCTTCTTCTGCCACCCCACCCCGCAGAAGAATCCCTGCCAGCTCCGTCTGTGTGGCCGGAGAAGGAGAGCCCACCCTGCCTGCACAGATCCCATCGCTGGCTTCTTCTGCAGGGCAGTTTAAACCACCATGCAGAAGAAGCCCTGCCAGGCAACTGGTTTGGTGCAGTGGGGAGGGCTCTCTCTGCCCACACAGATCATGGGGCTGGCTTCTTCTGTGGGGCAGTTTAAACCACCCCACAAAAGAAGCTCTCCCAGCAGGGATTTAAACATTAAATGCTTGCTCGGTTGAGTTGCAGAGTTGCGTCACAGTGGTGGTGCAAGACGAGTCAACCCAGCAGGGATTTAAACTTTAAATCCCTTCTCCATTATACCCTATGGGGACGGTGGTCCCCATAGGGTATAACAGAGCTGAATATATTTGGTTTTCCCTGAATACCAGCACAATAATGATACTGGTTTTGACGAATACTCTGGAATACCGAATATTTTCAGGTCAAAAGTACCTGAATCTGAAGTCGACCAATTTTTTTTCCTTGCACAGTCTTACATACAATCAATCAAATGCTGATATTTCAGTCTGATCCCTCCTCTGTTGTTACTGCTGTTACCATCTTCTCTTGCAGCAAGAAAACAAAATGACCTGCAGTTGTGGGCGTCTAAGACTAGAGAAGGCAAGGCTGCTGGCACCTGGCTCCAGAGCACTTTGATTCCCAGCATGAGGAGGAGGGCAGTGATGCTGCTGCAAACGAGGGGAGCAAGCAGGGAGGCACAAGAATATCATCTCAGTGTTTTTATTTGCAGTATTTTTGAGAATCATGTTAACACACACAAAAAAGCTGATGGTAGGCTTACAGGACCTCCATTTTCAAGCCAGCATTTTCAGAAACCATGTCAAACTTGTCTTCAAATACAATGGACTTACATGCAGGCACCAACTGAATGGAGAGAAGAACGCATCCGCCTAAGAACAAGACTCCTGCCATTGAATACCGGCGGGGTAGTTTTCGGAGAAGCAGCCAAGACATGGTATATGCTGGTACTTCAATGACTGCTGAGAGGAAGCAATTGACATAGATGTCTCCATGCAAGTTAGGAGTGTCCAAAGAAAGGCCAAAGTAGCCTACGGAAATGACCATCCTGTAAGAGAAATTTACTTTGTAATCAAGGTGTTTCATTGCACTAAAACCATATAGACATGTAGAAACAGGTATTCTGCAAGCAGAAATATGCTTTGTCTCTACTCTTGCTATTTGTATTTAAGCACAAACCTAACCATATTCATTCAGATCACAGAACTGATTCTAGTTCCAAAACTTTAACATGCAGCTATCCTTTTTCATATGATGGAGTGGATATGTGATCCCTCCCCTTTTCTCCACCATACACTTATTTACTTTAAAAAGATCTGTAGAGGGGAGGACCTGGTACTTCATGTAAAGCTTTGCTCAGCTTTCGTGGTGAACTTCAGGTGAATTACAAAATAGAAAATGCAACAAAAAAGTGTAAGATATGACATAAAAACAAAACAATTGTTTCTATTACAAAAGTATTATTTTTAATACAATGTATTAACAAGATAATATTTTAATAAAGAGTAGAATAGTCTATGATCCTATCCCTTTATAAAAGCATACCCCTGAACTGTTCTATTACACTGCAGCCTTATTTCCTTTATAAAAATGTCATCCTGAACAATTCAGTTTTACACAACCTGCAGAATGAAAGGAGAGTGGAAACCTTCCTGGCCTCCTCAAGCAGGCCATTCCACAATGCTGAGGTCACAACAGCTATTCTTGGTCACAGGCTGCTATTATTTTTACACATTTGCAGGCGGTGGCCCCTTCAGAAGGCTTTGCTCGGATCAGTGATGCTCTCATGGCACAGCAGGAGAATGTCCTGCAAATATGTGGGTCCAAGACCAGGTAGGGCTTTGTCTGTGACAGGCTTTATCCTGAACTGAATTAAGTAACTGATCTGACTTGCAGAATGAGCTTAATATGCACACTCCATCTAGTTCCTGGTAGTAAGTTGCAGCATCCTATACCAACTGGAGTTTCTGAGTTGACTTCACTGGCAGACCCACATAGTGTGTAATGCCTCAAGCTCTAGCCTTGAGGTCACTGTGGCATTTTAATGTATTTAAAACATTTCTGTCCCACGTTAGGAGCTCCTTGGGCTCAAGGTGGTGAACAATGTGGCAACCAAGTTTCAAGGATGTAAATAACTGCCCAATTAACAAAGTTAAAACACATTAAATACCCATATCACCAATTTTAAAAGCATTCAGATTTAAAACACACAAAAATTAAAACAGACAGGATCAGCAAACTCACAGACAGATGCGCTGGAACAATTTACCCTCCACCAAACCCTCTCTGAAATAAGACTGCCTTAAACACCTTCCTAAATGTAGCAAGAGAAGGTGCCCTGCTCATCCACTCTGGCAGGTTGTTCCAAAGGATCAAGACCACCACTGAACACGCCTGTGATCTTGCCATGGCCGTACAGCCAGTCCCAAGGGAAGGCACCTTAAAGGAGGAGGCTATCCGCAGAATGCAACTGGCATGGGGGAGGATACTTGCTTCTCCAGTTGAACCCTGTGAAATGTGGGTCTTTCAAGACCTTGCCCTTCCCAACCAACAACACATCTGTATTTTCAGAATTCATTCCCCCTAGCCCTTTTGAGGAAGATTAACTTCATGAAGCATGTTATTGCATATATGGATCTCTGCAAACATTCTCAACCTCGCATGCTTCTTTTGGTGTACAGCAGAGAAGAGAGACATGTGCCAGCTTCTCAGTCATGTGAACAGATTGCTATCCTATTCAAGTATCTAGTTCAACCAGTTCTTAGAAGATTATCAAGACTACCACTTCAAACTGCAGGTGGGGGATTCAACCTTCTCCCTGACACGTTAATTTATGTGCAAGAGCTTTTTATATGGATGATAATTCAGCTTCAAAGAATCTAGCATTAGATGACTTATGTAAAGTGGCTGATTACATGGGCTTAAACCAGATAATACGGAGAGACCAAATATGTAGGCAGCTTAGAGTCCTAGTTTATGACAAAGAAACAAAGCCTCACTAATTAGAACACCAGCACTCAGACAACACAGAACCTGTTGGGCTAGTTCCTTACAGCTCAGTGCAGATGTAACAAACCCTCACAATGGTAGTCATTCCTTCTGCCCCTCCCTCCTCCACTTTCAATTCCCCACCTTTTGTAATTCAAGCTGATCATAGTGTGATGCTGAGATTCAAGTCCAGGAGCACCTTAAAGACCAACAAGATTTACAGGGGATAAGCTTTTGAGAGTCAAAGCTCCCTTCATCAGACCCTAAAAATCTCTTCTTTTTTGTGGGCATTTGTGTGTTTGTGTATGTGCCTCCATGCCTGGAAGTCATGGAGACTTCTGGCGACTCCTGCTGGGGGCTTAGACATTTTTTCAGAGAGGCAGCTTGATAGCCTGCCTATGTGTCCCAACCCTGCTATTCCTTGGAGGTCTCCCTTCCAATTACTTGCCAGGGCTTGCCTGGGCTACCCAGGTCAGGGCTGACCCTGAAAATCGTCTTGGTCCTTAAGGGGCTACTAGACTCGAATCTTGCTCTCCTACAGCAGACCAACATGGCTACCCACCCGAAATTATCTTCACAGTGCGATACTACATAGTGTCAAACCAGAGTTTGTAATCAGGATTAGAAGCCCATGAATTTCAGTCTGCAGTGGGAGGGGAGGGGAAAAATTCTGCTGGCAGAAATTTTTATTCCAACGAAAGTGCTCTGTTGCATCTAAGACTCCCACTTGCAATCTTAAGTGGTGTAGTCCAGAAACAGTTATCATATAACCTTATGCAGCTACTGGTTTGTTAGACTTCTTGGCCATGAAAATCTAAAACTTAAATATGGATTGTCAAGAAAAACTCCAGCAGAAGTAACAGATTGCAGTTTGGATTATGAGGACTCTGGGAGCAGGGATATTTTCTTATGCTACTATGTAAGTGCCATGCACAGCTGTAGCACAACGATCAATTATCTACTAAAAACCATTTTATCAATCTGAGACCTTCAGTCTTCAGAAATGCAATACCTGCACTTTGGCTTATTTGGGTATATTCTTGGAGCATGTTTAACATTTGCTTACCATAGGATCACAGACATGATAGTGATCGATCTAATATTTCGGGTCCTCACTAGGTCCAAAACGTTGTATGATTGTTGGTTCTGAGAATTCAAATCCTGCAGCTAGAGAGACAAGATATGTGCATATGAAGACCAAATTATTTCTATTGAAATAAAAGATGAATAAAGTTACTATGCAAATGACAGGAAATCCCTGTAACAGGTTTCCCTAGTGCAGGGTTGTTTGTTTTTTAAAGTTTATGTGGTTAATGCAGCATGTAATGTAGGAAGCAGCCATTTTAAATCTGAATGATGATTCCAGGAAATGTGGCTACATAATTAGAGTGATCTGAGGGACACGCATTCTCCAATTCCTGTGAATAGATTCTATTTTCACAGCTGCATTAAGAGGGGTTTCTTCCTACCAATTCCCTCTCATTTTCCAAATGGAGTGCTGGTTACAGATTACATAGGCCCTATTTGGGGGATGTACATGTATATAACTGTATCCCGTTGATTTTCAGCAGACTTCTGACTTTATCTAGATTCCCTGGAGAGGCAGGATTTAAGTTTTCTAAATATATAAATGTTTTTTTCTAATACTTGGCACTCTTAGCTTTCAGGCTTTTAGAATATTATCAGCATTATTCTTTTCCTGTATATTTTGCTTCCCTTTATGTGATATTTTCACCATGATACCAACTGTCGTTTCTTGTTCACTGCTGAGGCATAAAACATTCACATCATCCAGCCACCCTGAAAGGATGTTATCTGGATATCTCTATATTCCTATCAGCTTTCCTCTTCAAATCAGGTTAAAGTTGCTCTGGAACCTGTTAGATTTTACCCAGTTTTGTTCCACTGCGATGCAACATAAACCCCAGCAATCTCATGGCAGCCCTGGAGTCACATGAAGCTGCCTTCTATTGAATCAGATCACTGACCCATCAAGGTCAGTAACGTCTTCTCGGACTGTCAGTGGCTCTCCAAGTTCTTAGGCAGAGGTCTTTCACATCTCCTATTATTACCTTTTTTTTTTAAGCTGGAGATGCTAATGACTGACCCTGAAAGCTTCTGCAGGCCAAGCAGATGCTCTACCACTGTGCCACAGTCAAGCCTCCAAGGCTCACTTGCTGCTCAGTATCAAATAATGTCAAGTGGGGAGGGGGAACCTGTCTGACTGAACATTTTCAGTAAATTGCCCTGCAACAAACAGGTGCAAATCCAAGGGTTGGGGTTTTTTTTGGGAAAGCAGACTGGCATCAGAATACTTTTGCAAGCTATGTTTCAAACTATGTTTTTGCAACGTATCCCTCATCTCCTAAGCCAAGAGCCCAAAGCATGCACAGAGAAGAGGCGGCTGCAAGGTTAGAGTGGCTTCTCAAGCACGGTCAGCGGCTTTATAAAATCCTAAGCCAGGCTGATGCCGCATAGCAAGATACAGGACACACAACCCTCCATCAGCTATACTTGGGTTCCAAAAGTTTTATATAAGAGGGTTCGTATCATTTATTTCATAGGACAGAGACAGGAGGCCAAGGAAGGGTGAAGGGAGTAGGGAAATAAGCAGCAGATGCAATCATGTGCACATTTACCTCAATAGAATCAAATATGACCTCTGGGGCTTGAACGCCATTCTTTCTTGCAGCCTTCTGAATTATGGCTTCTGCCTCCTGAATCCTTCCTTGAGAGAGCAGCCACCGAGGGGACTCTGGAATGAACCTGCAAGAGGTTTCAACAGAACTTGTATACAACAATTTCACCAGAACAGCTACGGTTGTTAAGCCTCTACCCTCAGACACGTACCTTTGATAACAAAAGACTAACACTAGCCTTACCTTCTTGCCAGGCTAGAGCAAACTCTGCTGTGACAAACAAGGGCTTGCAGGGGGATACCACTAATTGGCAATACATGCATGGAACTCAAAAAGGAAAGGTGTTAATTACGAAGTGTAAAAAGTTGTTAATTATGAAGTATCAAAGAGAATGCATTGTCAGTCTGCTGCAGCCAAAACAAGAATTGTGTCTTGTGGCACCTGGTATCCACAGCATAAGCTTTCCTGAGCAAGAGCCCACTTAATCAGGTGGGGGAAGTGTTACATTCAGCTGGCAGAGAGATTTGTACCCAACAGATTAACCGCAGGAGTTTTTCCTTACAGGTTTATGTGCACTATTCAGATTCATCCTGCTTTGCCAGTTCATCAACAGCTGGGAATGGTCCACACTAAGTCTGAGTGGTCTATTTATTCTTTTGACCGCACCTGTACTTTCAAATGTAATGTAGCACCTGTTGTTCTACAAAACTGTTCCTTTTGGCTTCTCTTGGCAACATCTCTTTTCTGTACCGATGGAATGTAACACTTCATGCATCAAAGTGTGCTCTGGCTTATGAAACCTTATGTCAAAAATAAATTTGTTAGTCTTTAAGGTGTCACAAGATTCTTCTGTTATTTTATCAAAGGGATCATGAGACAGCAGTAACAGTGCACTGAAGTGTAGACTGAAACAGATGATGCCTATGCAGGGCAAAATACAGCAACAACATAGACCTGATAGCTATAATAGGATCAGTATCAAGTTGAAAGCCTGAGGGCCTAACCAGCAGTTACAATTTAGGCAACAGCAGCTGCACCATGATATCCGTTTCTAAACTGTGTGTATATGTTCAGTGATGGCAACGGGACTGAATCTCACGAGATCAGCAGATGTATGTGTGCGTTCGTGTACACCACGAGTGGGTATCAGGATCATTGTAGGTATAGGTGTGTATCTATACCCTTGTACCATATACTACATGGTAAACATAGTACAGAAAGGCCCCTTCCCTTCTGTGCATATGCTATTTTCTGCTTGCTAGCTGTATGCACTAGTCCTATGAATCCAATAAACCAGTACTACTTTATGAAATAATGAAATAGCGTCTTTGCTAATGATGGAATGCAAATAAAAATTAAATTTACCACAGGGATGCATGTGAAATGGCTCATTTGTGCCCTATGTTAACTGTCACCAATGCTAAGGTAGCACAGTATTTTGAGCCAGGTAACCCAAAACCAGATTAATATATTTTTCTTTGTTCTAAGTTCTGGGTAGCTGTGAGTTGACTTACTTCCAAATTTGGAAATGAAAAAAAAAGGATTGACAGTGGACAATCAGTATATCTAATATAGCCCTATCTGTGGAAAGTTAAATCTGTGGACCAGGGCCATGTAGACATAAAACAGATACTTCTGTATACCAGGGTTTACCCAGATTGGCAAAACATCCTAAAAAGAACCAAAAAAAGAACAGTTTTCTGCACAGGTTCAAACTTGTGCTGCAGGAGGCAAGCAGGTAAAGGAGGAGTGGGAGCCACTCAGCAGTAGACCGCCTCCCCCCTCAATCTCTGAGGTGCTAGTACTGTGGGTGGGCTTGTTGGGGGAGGAGCAGCGGCTACGTTCCCCACCACTTGAGGTAGGGAGCCACTGAGGGAGGCAGGGAGGCAGTGATGATTCAGCTGGTTGGGGCTGGCTGGTGAGTGGCTGACCTGCTGAGTGAATGGGGGGTGGGGTGAAGATGGGGTTTCCCCTTCATGAGTCTCGTCCGGTCCTCACTTGTTTATTGCTTTAAAAAAGTACTATGGCACCGCCTTATGGATTGTTTTTCCACAACAGAACCTAAATGGGGGTCAAGTAGCCTTTGAGGAGAACTTCACACCAGTAATTCTTGGCAGTGCATAGATGGATAAAGCTGTGGAAACACTAGCAGTTCAAAACTAAGCAAGTGGGCTTAGAGGGATGTAGCTCTGCTTAGGACTGCACTGTAAATCTACAATACTATTTTTATCATTGCAATGGTTCCGGAAATAAGCAGAACTATATAGCAGAAGTTTTAGCTCAAGACAGAACACTGTACTTTTACAATATACAACATATATAAAATATACAACATATATAAATATATGTATCAAATATAAAATATACAACAAAATATACAACAAATAATCATTGAGCTCCCATCTCTGGCCCCAGCTCCTGCCAACCTAGCAGCTCAAAAGCAAGAAATTGCAAGTAGATAAATAGGTACCACTTCGGTGGGAAGGTAACAGCATTCCATGTGCCTCGGTGTTTAGTCATGCTGGCCACATGACCACGGAAATGTCTTCGGACAGCGCTGGCTCTTCGGCTTGGAAATGCAGATGAGCACCGCTCCCTAGAGTCGGATTCGACTGGCTTTCGAGCAAGGGAAACCTTTACCTTTAACTCTACAGTATGGCTGTTAAGAGTGGCATTAAACAGCTGATGCCATAACAGAGAAAGGAATAAAAATGCAGATTCTTATGGATGAGGACACTAGGATGATCTATTTTGATGGGACTGTTTCTATCTTCTGGCATTTTTCTTTTGAAATCTGTACTTGGTTGCTCTTTAATGCAAATCCTTGACAGCTTACAAACATAAATTTATGAAAGATACTTTAATTTTTTTTTTATTTGTTAGATTTTTATCCCACCTTTTCCTGAAGGCTCAGGGCAGATTACAACACTAAAACAATTGCGTATAAAAATGCATAATATATAAGATAATAAAATCAGACACTGGCCATTCATAGATAATCAATAAAATACAACAAAGTGAATAGGTGGACAGATTCCAGGAGGGCCAACAGAACAAGAACAGAAGAAGGCCTCCCTGAACAAGACTGACTTATAAGCTCTGTGGAAGCTTGGAAAGTCCCGTAGGGCTCGAACCTCATCCAGTAAGGCATTCCACCAGGACGGGGCCAAGATGGAAAAGGCCCTTGTCCTGGTGGTAGCCTAGTGGACTTTTGTGGGGCCCGGTACCACCAACAAGTTGCGTGATGACGAGCACAGCATACAAAGGGGATTATAGTGAGAAAGGCGGTCCCTCAGATATGATGGTCCCAGAACGTTTAGGGTTTTAAAGGTGAGTACTAGTACCCTGAACTTGATTTGGAAATAGATAGAACCATAAAATCATAGAGTTGGAAGGGACCTCTGGGGTCATCTAGTCCAACTCCATGCACAATGCCGGAAATTCACAAGTATCTCCCCCTCCATACACCCAGTGACCATCAGTGTAGCTGCCGCAGCACAGGATGGATACGTGCATCGCAGGTTACACCAGCCAACTATCTGGCAGCTGCATTCTGAGCTACCTGAAGCTTCTGGAGCAGTAGCAAGAGCAGCCCTGAGTAAAGTGAATCACAGTAATCTAAGCGAGAAGTGAAGTGACTGTGGCATGGATCACTGTGGCAAGGTTGGAGCAAGACAGGTAGGGAACTTACTGGTGGGTTCATCATAGATGGGAAACGGCAGTCCGTGCGATGTTGGATACCTGTTTCTCAATTGACAGTGAGATATCCAACCATATCCCCAGGCTCCTGATAGAGTCCAGCAATGTAAGCGGCACCCCATCAAGAGCCAGGAGTTATATGTTGCCAACATATCCATGCCGACCCAGCCATATGACCTCGTTCTTGGAAAGATTTAGCTTCAACAAGTTTTCCCTCAACCAGTCCACCACAGTGTCTAGACACTAGGATCGTCCAGGGAGAGCAGACTCCAGCTGATCACCAAGCAGGAGATAGAGCTGGGTGTCATCTGTGTACTGATGGCACCCCACCCCACAACCCTGATGAGATCAGCCAGAGGGCGCATATCAATGTTAAATAACATCGGCGACAGGATCACACCCTGAGGAACACCACAAATAAGTAGCATACTCGGTGAACGTTGTCAACTAGCACCACTAAGTGCAGTCTCTGTCCCATACCCAGGTCTGAAGCCAGTTTCATCCAAGAATTCCTGGAGCTGCTTAGTGACTGCCCTCTCAATTACCTTCCCCAGAAACAGTAAATTCGAGACTGGGCAGTAATTGTCCTCTCCAAAGAAGGCTTCTTCAAAACAGATCAAACTAGGGCCTCCTTTAAAGAGCTGGGAAAGCAGACCTGAGTGAGAGAGACAAATTCACAGTCTCTCTCAGGGAGCATCCTACCACATCACTGCAAGATTTAACCAGCCAAGATCTAAAGGGCAGGTTGTTGGCTCAACGGCCACCAGGATCCTGTCCACAGCCATCAGGGAGAGTGGGCAGATGGTAGTCCAAGAGAGGACCTGTATAAGCCACGGAAGCCCCTGGCGCATTACCTGTATACAAACTGGCGGAGATCTCCTAGTGGAGTTTCGAGATTTTGTCTGCAAAATATGGCACAAAAGTGTCACAGCTAATAGGCAATTCCCTATCATTTTGGGACTCCACAATGGGTGAAATCAAGGACCAAACTGTTCTAAACTAGCAGACGTGACGGAGGCAGAGAAATAAGATCTTTTCACTGCCTTCACCGCCACCTCATAGGCCCTCAGTTGGGCTCTATGCTGTGTTCTCGTCACTTCATCCCGGGTCTCTCACCAGATTCTCTCAAGCCATCTAAGCAATTTTTCCATATCTTTCAGCTCCAAAGCATACCATGGAGCTAAAAGAGAGTGAGGGTGTAGAGGGCATTGGGGAGCAATGGCATCAACAGCATCCCAAAGACCGACAAACCAGTCCTCAGTCCGAGCATCGAGGAAAATGCCATTTTCTTCATTTTCTTGAGAATCAAGCCTGCTTAAGTTATTTTTAGGGAATGCCACTTGAGTTTGCAACTAAAGTTATCTCTATCAGTAATCTAACCATAACTAACAGTACAATCCTGTGCAGAGTTAGTCTGGTCTAAACCAATGGAGCAATTCTGCATAGGGTTGTACTGTTAAGTCAGGCAGAGTTTCCTACCTACTTTAAGGGCATTAGCAGGTATTAGGGTTTTTTTGAGGGGGGTGGGGGCGGTAGAATGTGAAAACCTTTATTGTAAAGTACACTCACCACCACAGTGGAACATACAGCAGCCCTGGTAAAGTGAGAGTCAGAAGCAGAGTCCGCCAATCTCTGAAGAAGTAAGCACACAATGGCAGCAACATGTAGCCAAATGCATAAAATATGCAAACACCTAATGTGCAATATATAATGCGGACTGATTTGCCAAGAATTTCTGTGCCTGTTCAAAACAAGGGATAAATTCATTAGAATTCAAACAAAAAGCCACCTAACTAGCTATTTTTCCCTAGTAAATGATGTGAAACTACCTCTGTAAGAAGAGACATAAAAATGCTTGGTGATGTGTGTAGTTCTATATTTGACCTTTTGTCAAAATTAGTATTTATAACTGCAGCAATGAGTGAAGATGTAATGACTGGGCTCCAAAGCCCTTTGCCAGCATGGTATGATTTCAGAATGCTAAATATTCTTCTCTCTTCGTGACAATATTTCCATGCTGTAGTAAGTCTACAGTATTTGTAAAGGAACAGCACACATCAGCACAGCTAAGCATTTAGACATCATAGAATATTTAAATTGACAAAGAGTTCATCTCCCTCATAATCATGGATACCTTTGGGCTGCTATTTTGCATGCAGTTAGGTTGCTTAAATACCAGAGTATTCAATGATAGTTAAGCAGCTTGTGTGAAAGATGGCAGCAAATAGAACAGAGTGGACCATGCCCTGAGTGTATAGCAGAAGAGATGCATGACAGAAATTACCGGAGACTTCAGAATAGTTTTAAGAACATCTTATACACTGCATTCATTTTAGTCTGCATGTTGAAATCCAAATCCCAGTATAGGTTTGAGACTGAAATATCCCAGTATAGGTTTGAGACTGAAATATAATGTAGAAAGTTTACTTCTACATTAACTGGCAGCTTTTGCTTTAAGCAGAGGAAAGATTAAGAGATACTTAGACCTATGATTTGCTTAGCAGTGTAGGCAGTACTGCTTGGGCTTGAGCAAGATGCCATTTATGTGTCTAACAATAACAAGGATAAGGAATAAATGGGCTACCCCAGCAACATGCCAACAGAATAAAAAGGAAAAAAATGCCAGATGATAGTTGGTTGATCTATTATTGTACAAGGTCCTTATGTGTTCTGTTAAATTTAAATTTCGTTACAATTAAATTTCATTAAAGGGGTTAAATTCTAGTCTGGGACTTCTGACCTTGCTCAGCTAATCTCTGTACATAAAAAAAATCACTGGTCATTCTCCACTAGTAAAAGAACTTAATTGCTGTGGACAGTTCCAGCACTAGGTGAATGCTTTGGTCAGTATTTACTTCATATATGGTTTATTTTTATTGTCTTGTTTCATGTCCAATGTACAGTTTAGTATGTATTATTATCATTTGTATTTATTTATTTAATTTATATTCCGTTTCCCCTGCCTGGGCAGGCTCAGGGTGGTATCTTATATTGTGTATCAAATAATATGTATCAATTTTCAGAACTAATTTTGATCCTGTCATTTTAATTAATATTATTTTTAATACTTATGTAATAATTTTTATTAAGGGGTTTTTCTATTATTTGTATTACTTGCATTAAATGTAAAATCATGTTATTATAGATTCCCCCATTTAAAGCCTGCACAGCGAAATGCATAGGGACTTTGTACAATAATAAATCAATCAACTATCACCTGACATTTTCCCTTTTTGTTCTGTGAACGATAACAAGAACATTAAGACAGTCACATACCAAGCACAAATGCAGCCACGTAATTAGAGATCTGTCCCATTCCAACAATAAGAAAGAGTGCTGAAAACATTTCCCAGCTTGTTGAGAAGACCTGGAAAAAGCCAAAGCCAGTCTGGACTCCCATTGTTGCAAACAACACATTCTTCCTACCAAACCTACCATGGGACAAAAACAGAAGGAAAAGAATAACATCAAATGTCAGTTAAACAGAGCATTATATTAAAAAGAAAAGAAATAAAGGACATTTAATTCATGCTTTTCTAATCTCAGACTAAGAGGCATTTGGAGAATCATCCCCGTTTTCAATATTTTAAACCCCAGCAGCCGTAAAATGTCCTCACTGAAGGTTCAATTGCACTCAAATGATAGAGGGAATTCATGTCTGCAAATTATTTCAGGTTTCTTATTTTCTAGCACATTCCTTCTTTTACTGTGGCCTACAGGGAACTTAACCTCTGGGGGAATGGGAGAGTGAAGACGGGGGCAGATCTATTTCTCCTTCCCCTTTCCTTGCACGTTTCTCATCAAATGTGGATTGTCACTAGGAAGACACAGGTTTAGGCCTCTGCTCAGTCAGGAAACTCACTGAATCACCTTAAGCCACTCACCTGAACCTAACTCACAAGGTTAGTGGGAAGTGGGATGATGTGTGCCACTTTGAGAGTCAAATACAACAAACTACCTGATTACAATTTATCAACTCAGTTCTGACTCAGGGTTAAAAGTCATGTATAAAAAGGGTGACAAATCTTTAATATATATACTTTACTTGTCTGAGAGTAGTCCAGATATGAAAGATCCAACCAATACGCCCACAAAAAACAAAGAGGTAGTCAAAGGTGATTTCCAGTCATTGTCACACACAAGATTCCACTGGAAAAGAAAGAAAAGAGCATTTTTACCTTACACACAATTAATTTTTTTAAAACAACCAAACAATAAGCTAAAATAATGGTGGTATCAGAATGTACATGTGGAAAATTTAAAAAAATAAAAGCTATATAGTTATGGAAGAACCAAAATTCTGATGGAGGTATTTTCCCTCCAATAACAAAACCATCTACTCACAGTATGCCCTCACAAAACAGAAACCTAGATTATATGTATGAAAATAGGGTTTTTTTAGGAAAATAGAGATTTTTATATAAAAAAACCCCTTTCAACATACAAACGAAAACATTTTCAACATTCAAAATTCACAATACAAAATATAAAATACAACACAAGTAACCGATTACAAATCCAACATCAACATCTTACGATGCACCAATGTACTAATTCCATAATTCAATATTAACAAGATTAACCACTTAACATTATTGACATTAATGATAATATTGATAACATTAATTACATCAACACCATTAATAGCTTTAATAACATTGATAACATTAAGAACATTAGCAACATTAATACCCTAATCTAAACTACCCTTTCCTACAACGAAAGAAGGTAAGGAATGTAAGGAAAGATGACCTATGGGACCGGAGGATTAACGTCTTCAAACCACCACCACCTTTTCCACCATATTTCCCTTTTTGTGTTTTTCTCTTCCCATATTTTAATTCTGTATAATGATTGCAACACCCACACAATTGTTTCTTATATATTAACCGGGGTCTTTGAACATGCTTCTGCATGTCTGTTTCTCAAAATCATTTGAAGCATAACTAAATTCAGCAACCTAACCACCGACCATGGCATTTTCATTTTTTCCAAGCCTTCGAGACAATACTGGGACCCCCCTTCTGTCCTGAAACCATCTTACTCCTGGTTGGCCATAATCCCTTTGTGGTTGCAGTCCCAAGACTATAGTCTCCCAATCCTGAAATAAAGGATATGGTCATTTCAAGACTTTTGCCACACCAGCCCATTCTCTTCTGAAAGCCACATACTTCACCACAGCATGAGCAATAGTTTCTGGAGAGGCTGAGTTTCGGTAATCATCAAAAGCCCGAACCATTTGTTGATGTTCTAGTAAGACCACACATTCTATCCTTGGACACTTCTGTTGATCTGGGGACGGGCCAAAAACCTTTGCTCCCACCCATAACACCTAGTGATAAGCTTGCCATCTAAGGTCTCTATAGAAGTAAGGGATAGTCCAGTCACAAAAGATCAGTCTGCCATCTAAAATATTTTGAAAGATTATCCTTAAGACTCCTTCCTTGATCATATGGTCGGAGCTTACTCTGACCCAATGCTGTCCAATATAATTGGCCAGTTTGGCTCTTCTTGCCAAAGCAAATCTTTTTAACCCAGGAAGCCACTATCCCATACTTTTTAATAGCTGGAACTGCTTCCACCAAAAAAACTTGATAAAGGTCAGGTTACAGCAACAGTCAGGCGGGGACATGGGTTTTTGCACAGCCACCACTCCTTACCCCAACGTGTCTCTATCCAACTACGTACAAAAGTCTCTCAAATTTGTCCATCTTGCGAGGTGGGTAAAGATGCATCTCCATTATTTTGCCACACTCCCCAGTTTGTACTAAGAAAAATACAAAGAAACCATAAACCAATATTCAACAACCCTAATCTTCCATTGTTCTGTCACCGATAAGCCACCAGTCTAGCCAATGGGAACGTTGCCGTTTTGAATAGAAATACTTTTCTTTTCACATCCAACATCAACTTTTCAAGAGGGGGAAACACTCCTGCTAAGTAATTACCCACTGACACAGTATGTAGCAAAATATTGCACCTTCTGTGCAGTTGTGAGACGCCATCCTTTCCACATCTCTAACTGGTCTAACATTTGCTGATACCATATCCTCCAGTTCTCCTTCCAACCATCTTTCTCAAAAGAAAACTAAATCCCTAAGATCTTAATTGCTGGTACTAATGCATCTTTGCTTGTTGTCTCATCACCTATCAACTCTACTGGTTCCACCGGTCTCACCGTTCTCACCGTTATCCTTGCCCTCCCTTCCTCCAACACAAACAGTTTGCTTTTCCCCATGTTTATGTTCGCTCCCGATGCTTTCTGGTAACCATAACGATGTTTCCTAATTCTCTTCAGGTCTTCCTCATTCTTCAACCTTACATATGCATCATCAGCGTGCGCCATGCTAACCAACTGAAACATCGGAGTACTTTGCGAGCTAAGGCCTTTTATTTGCTCATCCTTCCAAATTGCTCATAACAGGGGCTCCAATGTGAATACATAAAACAGAGGGCTGAGCGGACAACCCTGACGGAGGCCCCTACAAATAGAAAAAAGGGACCCTTACAGCCTTCTATGTATGGTCGTACTATCGAGTTCTCCTACAATACATAAAGAAAATGAACAAAAGCGACTGGTATCCCATACCACTTTAGAACTTTCCATAAAAACTGATGAGAAACACGCTCAAAGGCCTTGCTTTGATCAAGCTGTAGTAACCTCTGATCTTTGTTTTCTTCTCTAATTACTTCAAAAGCTTGTCTAAATGTACAAACAGAGTAAATCATTTTCCTCTCCGGGATCTGTAGTCAATATTAGTCACAATGTGGGTCGCCAATTGGATATCAGCAAAGCATCATCACCTTTGTAAATCAATGACATTAGTCCTTCTATAAAACCCTTTCCAGCTCTTTTGTTTTGCCACATAGTATTAAATAATTCCATTAGTATAGGGACAAATAGATCTTTCATTTCTTTATAAAAACTGTAGGTTAGACCATCAGGGCCCGGCACTGATACACGTTTCCCAGCAAACAGAGCCTGAACGATCTCATCTTCCGTGAAAGGTGCCATTAGTGCATCAAGATCTTCCACACTCCATTCCAGTAGTTGACTTTCGATGGAATCCAAATACACCTCTATTTCTGGTTCGTTCCAACCATCTAAATGTTCTTGATAAAAGTCTTCATAATACCTTGAAACAAAATCCATAATCTCTCCCTGATCAGTTTGAAATCTAATTACTACCAATTGTTGTATGGGCTGCCTTCGCCTATCTTTTTGCCACTCGCCTTTTTGTTAGACAGGGCCTGAGGACCTAGCAAAACTCACCAGCCGCCTTTGTTGTCTCTGACATGACAGCTTTTCACTGTTTTTGACATCTTCCCAGTCTCTCCTTGTCATAATTCAATCCTTTATCTCATCGCCACTGTATAGCCAAAATGGTCTGAATAGCATTACGATAACTTCGAAGCTCTCTCAATGAATTCCTCCGATTTACTATCTGGCAAACCCTCTTGATTGCCCCTTTCAGAGTTTCCCACCACAAAATCATGTCCTCAAATGGTTTAAGAAAATTAAAATATTCTACCTTTTGTCTCACTTCCTGTAATAGTTGATATTTTAAAAAAATCTCTGTCCTGTAATTTCCACCTAGGGATCAATTTTGTAACTTAGGTCCAGAAGCTCGTCTGCAGTAGTACATGATCCGACCAGGCTGTAAAAATTAACAACTTCTCCAGTATGAAGAGTAGAATTGTACCGCACTCTGTCTATTTGGCTTACTTAGCTCTTTTCTTTTCTCTTTATCTATCGGGGTGTAGAAGGTTATCAATCTATACTTGTAGGCCGGAGTCACTGTCGGCATCGTCAAATTAAAATCAATAACTGCCAGGTGTTCCAGACATGCATCTACAAATCTAATAATCTGAATATTCTCATTCAATTAAAAAAGTACTCCTATGCCTCTTGCCCCTTCCTCTAATTTTAGAGACCATACAGATGGGCCCCATGTCCAATCTCTCTGAGCACAACTTCTGTCCCTTGGCATCTTGATGTTTGTCTCTTGTACGACGATAATATCTGTCTGAAGCCTAGAACAATTGTAGAAAATCTCCTCTCTCCTCCCTGCCTGCTTTAGACCCCTACAATTCCATGTAGTTATTGACACCGCCATTATTAGATGTTAAAATAATAATAAGGAAAAGACAGTCAAGGACTGGACATGTACGGTACTCATATTACTTTCAAAGAATAAGGATGCCAGGCACTATACTAAATTGCAATCAATGTACATAAATAAACAAAATTATAGAATTACAAAAATATATGTTGACTGTAGCCATTTCCTGTTTTTATTTCCTATCTTGTTCCATTTATTTATTTATTGTTCACATTTATAGCCCTTCCTCCCTGCAATGCAGGCTCAGGGCGGCTCACAGACAGTGCATTAATACAGTTAAAACACATAAAAACATGTAAGAACAATTCATTATTAAAACAAATTCATAAAGTGCTGAAGATAGTTATTCAAGATGGCTTATTTCAGTGTACCGTTTATTGCATGTTGTGGGTTTTAAATTTGAAACTGCCTTGAGCCATGGTAAACAGCAGGTCTAAAAATTAAGCCAAAGATGGTACGTTAGCGTGCCAGTTCTATTGTAACAGCTGCCGTTTCAGACTGGGAGCTGGGAAACCGATTCCTCTTGAACCCCAATGAGATGAAGAAGAGCTGGTTTTTATACCCTCCTTTTCTCTACCCTAGAGTCTCAAAGCAGCTTACAATCGCCTTCCCCTCCCTACAACAGGCACCTTGTGAGGTAGGTGGAACTGAGAGAGTTCCAAGAGAACTGGGACTGGCCCAAGGTCACCCAGCAGGCTTCATGTGGAGGAGTGGGGAATCAAACCTGGTTTGCCAGATGAGAGGCCACCATTCTTAAACACTACACCATGCTAGCTCGAGAGAAATAAATAAATAAATAAATAATCCCCATGTTTCCATGAATCTCACTGGGCGACCTGGGTCAGTAACTCCATCCTACCGTAACCTAACCCAGAGAGTTGTTGTGAGAACACGGAGAGGGGGAGAAAGGGGGGGGAGTGCTAAATAAAAATAATCTGCAATCTTCTGAACTGGGTTCGAAATACAACTGCGTAACAAGACGACTCTGACAGATAGATACAGGGCACCTGAAAAGCGGGGCAGGAA